CTTTCCATTCTGTCAAGCAACCACTTGTGTGCAGCACACAGGGTGTGTGGAACATGCACGAGGCTCCTTTTGGAGATGCCTCCTGGGTCACCTCCTGCTGCACGGCCAGGAGGGTCCAGCAGAGCCTTGCCTGGCTGGAGCTGCTGGGCACACCAGCTGGACCCACACCCTGCCACTGATCTGACTTATGGTCTGAGGAAATCGTGGTCATGTTGCTTTTCATTAGCAAAAATCTTTGCTATGGCCCCTCTCCTCACAGCATGGAGCTGCTGGGCTTGCTTGGGCACCAAGGTGCTGCTCTGGCTGGTTGCAGTCACACACACACAGGCAGGGGTGTCCCAGTCCTGGTGCTACCTGTGTGCAGCTGCTGGTGGAGCTGTGTGCTGGGATGCAGCTCCCTGCTGATGCCCAGCAGCCCAACATCTCCTTGGGGACACCTGGAGCTGTTCCCCAGGCACTGTGTGTCCTTGCAGGTCCAGTGAGCCCGATGCCAACGAGTTTCCTCGGCAGTGCCCTCCGGGGCACCTTCTTCTTCATCTTTGGCCTCTGGTGGTCAGTGAGGTACCCCCTGAGGTATCTCCGGCACAAAGCAGGGGCTGAGAGCCAGCCTGGCCATGGCACCCACCGCGTGGAGGTCCTGGAAGGGATGGTCAAAGCTTTCTTTGCTCTAGCAGGTAAGAGATAATGATGAGTCCTGGTCCCAGTATCTCCTGGCACTGCAGGTGCTCTGACCCACAGAGACTGGGCTGTTTGTAGTGGGAAATGGGGCCTGGGGACCTGCTTGTGGCATGGTGTGTGGTGAGACTGTTCCTCTGGGCAAGGAGAATCATCAAATGGTTTATGTTGGAAGGCACCTCAAAGATCATCTCTATCCAACCCCCCTGCATGGGCAGGGACACCTCCCACCAGCCCAGGCTGCTCCAAGCCCCATCCAACCTGCCCTTCAACACTGCCAGGGATGGGGCAGCCACAGCTTCCCTGGGCAACCTGGGCCAGGCTCTCACCACCCTCACACTCCACAATTCCCTCCTCATCTCTCACCTCAATCTCCCTCTTCCAGTTTTCATCCATTCCCCCTTGTCCTCTCCCTCCCTGCCCTTGTCCCAAGTCCCTCCCCAGCTTTCCTGGAGCCCCTTCAGGCACTGGAAGCTGCTCTAAGGTCTCCCTGGAGCCTTCTCTTCTCCAGGCTGAACACCCCAACTCTCCCAGCCTGGCTCCAGAGCAGAGCTGCTCCAGCCCTGGGAATCATCTTCATGGTCCCCTCTGGACTTTCTCCAACAGCTCCATGTAATTCTAGTGTTGGGGACCCCAGAAGGGGCCCCAGCCCTGCAGGGGGTTCCTACCACAGCTTCACCATGGCAAAGAAAACTTTTCCTACGAGCTTTTCTTTTCCCCTCTCTTCCCAGGCATCTTGGTGGAGCAATTTGTGCCCACGGGTCCCCACCTGCAGCTCTACAGCCCCAAGACTCACGGCTGGGTGGGCCTCACCCCCTGGCATTACACCACCATCTACTTCTTCTTCCTCCTCTCTGGCCTCGTGGACGTGGCCTCACACTCCCCCCTCAAGCTGCCCCTGGGCTTGGACAGGCTCTCGCTGGCCCTGGCTCTGCTGGTTGAAGGTGATTCCCATGAGGTGGGGTGGGATGTGGGCCAGGGGAAGGGGCAACAGCCCCAGGCTGCTTTGAGAACGACACGACCCAAGCCATGACTGGGTGGCCCAGGGATGCCTGAGAGGTGTGTCCTGCTCCTGGGGACAAGATGTTGTCCCCCCACCTTGGTTGGATGCAGAGGGACAAACCCTGGTGCCAGCTCCCCTGCTGGCTGGCTCCTCCCCCAGCAGCAACACCTGGAGCACGGGCTCAATTTTCAGATTAATATTTAAACAACAACAAAAAAAAACCCAATCCCAGAACATCCTTTTCTGACGGGGGTGAATCTTGGCAGGTTTGCTCTTCTGCTTCCACGACTACAGTGATGCTGTGCTGGATCAGCACCTGCATTCCCTGCTGGTCCTGGCTGTCTTTGCTGGAGCCCTCTGTGCCCTGCTCGAGGTGTTCCTCCGTGACCACATCATCCTGGAGACCTTCAGGACCAGCTCCTTCCTTCTCCAGGGCTCTTGGCTCTGGCAGGTCAGTGTCCACCCAGTGCAGGGGGCTTTGCAGCCAGGGAGGGAACATCTGTTGGGGTTAAACTTGTCAAAGTGGGTGGAATATCTTGGTAAAGAAGAGGAGGAACCAAGGATCAGCACCAGAGTGGTCATCATAGAGATGTTCATGTGCTATGCAGGCAGCATGGACACACCTGTGGGCTAAATGGAAATGAGACATTTTTATTATAATGAGGGTGGTGAAACACTGGGATGGGTTGCCCAGAGAAGCCCCAGGTTGCCCAAGGAGGTGGTAGGAGCCCCATTCCTGGAAACAAGGGTGGGAAACCACAGGCTCAAGACTTTTTCTTTTCATGAGGTCCAATTTTTTCCTCTGTTCAGAATCACATAATGGTTCAGGTTGGAAGGGGCCTTTGAAGGCCACCTGCAGTCCAACCTGACCTTGGATGTTTCCAGGAACATCTCCCACCTCTCTGGGCAGCCTGGGCCAGTGTTTTGCCACCCTTTGTTTCTTTGTTCCATGTAACTGGGAACATTTGGAAACCTCTCATAGTCACCCAGCTTTGACTCTAGGAGGAAAAGCAGAGCCTGACTCTGGAGCCTTTGGGTTGTCACCTTTCTCCAGGGATGCTGAGCTGCACTGTGAGCCCTAAGGCTGGTCCACAGAGCATCCTTCTCCTGAAATGTGTCACCAGGGGTCAGGGATGCTTGGGGCTGCTGAGGTGCTGGTATTGCTGGGGTTTATGATGCCTCCAGTCCAGAGCCAGCTGCAGCAGTGGCTAAAAATCAGGAGGAAAAGAGAGGAGGGATGTGCTGAGGCCAATGTCTCCTCTGTCTGCCACCAGATTGGGTTTGTGCTGTCCCCTCCGTGGGGAGGACCAGGCTGGGATCAGACTGACAGCAGCAACGTGGCCTTCCTCACCATGTGCTTCTGCTGGCACTATGCAGGCATCCTGGCTGTCCTGGCAGCAAACGCTGCTGCGTCTCGCTGGTATGTGGGGGTGAAGGGTCCCTGGGGGGTCCTGGCACTGGGGAGGCCAAGAGCAGCACCAAGGGGATCCAGTGTCTCCTGGGTGCCCATGTACATCCCAGCAGGGACTGGTCCGTGTCCTGGCTGGAAGGGGTGGCCTTGGTGCCACCACGGAGCACACAGCCCTTGGCAGGTGGGGTGAGCTGGTGGCTCTCACTGCCTGCAGACCCTGATGGGTGTCCCTGTCCCTCCTGCAGCTGCAACGAGTCCTGCCAGCTGAAGTTTGGGGACATCGACGTGGAGCTGGACTGCGGCGTCTGCCTGCGCGGCCAGAGGGGCTCTGAGGGGGCCCTGCTGCCAGAGAGCACCTTGGAGGACAAATGAGGCCCTGGAAACGCCTTCCCCACTGGCTTAGAGCTCTTCAGATGAGGTTTTCAGTTAGCCTTGATAAACCCCTCTGGCACTTGATGGTTGGAGCACCAGCAGTGGGAGGCAGATGTGAAGCCCTTCCCGTGCAATCTGGGCACCCAGAGCAAACCCAGCTCAGGCAGGAGGGACCTTCTCATCTTCCCAGGCTGGGAACTGCAGGACTGGTTTGCTGCTGGAGTCCAACTTGTGTGGCCAATTTGGCCATTTATTTTTTTTACCATCATTTTTGCTTCTGCAGAGGGAGCCCCACCAGCTCCTGGGGCTGCTGCTCACCCTGGGGTTGCTGGAGGGGTTTGTGTTCCAGCCTCCAGGTCACTAATAAAGTGCTTTAACAAACCAGCTCCATGGATCTCTTGAGCATGATGCTCTGCGGGTGGGGTTCAGGCCATGTCTGGCTTCAAAGTGGTTTGGGGGATGAGTGAAATGTCAGAGGGATGGGACTGGGTGTGCTTGAAGTGGCCAAATGCCCCTGGTGGCCCAGGCTGAGCCCCTGTCACTGCCCTGTGCTGCTTCGTGCCTTTAATGAGAAGCTGAGGGATGAGCTGGAGAGGAGAGGAGCTGGTGTGCACTGGGTGTTGGGGAGGTGGGACATGGGGTGTTTGCCAGGCAGGGTCCACCTTGCAGAGAGACACCCTTGAAGCAAAGTGATGGATTCAGCTGGTCCACATGGAGAGCTGGGCTGTTCAGCCTGGAGAAGAGAAGGCTCCAGGGAGACCTTAGAGCCCCTTCCAGTGCCTGAAGGGGCTCCAGGAAAGCTGGGGAGGGACTTGGGACAAGGGCAGGGAGGGAGAGGACAAGGGGGAAGGGATGAAAACTGGAAGAGGGAGATGGAGGTGAGACATGAGGAGGGAATTGTGGAGTGTGAGGGTGGTGAGAGCCTGGCCCAGGTTGCCCAGGGAAGCTGTGGCTGCCCCATCCCTGGCAGTGTTGAAGGGCAGGTTGGATGGGGCTTGGAGCAGCCTGGGCTGGTGGGAGGTGTCCCTGCCCATGCAGGGGGTGGGACTGGATGATCTTTAAGGTCCCTTCCAACCCAAACCATTCTATGATTGGGCATCAAGATGCTCCTGGTGAGTCTCTGCTGTGCAGCAACTCTGGGAATGGCTTTTCTCCTCCTACAGCAGCAGCTTTGTTCCCTCCATGGAGCTGGTCACTACCCATGCAGACACAGAAATCAAACCTTTCCCTTTGTGGTGCTCAGGGCTATGTGAGTTTTTCCCCCCTCTTTC